CCCGGGCCGCCGGCCACAGCACCTACCCAGCGTCGGCTCGCCGGCCTCCGCGCTGTCGGCGGGCCCTGTCCGGTCCCCGTCTAGGGGCAAAGGCCTAGGAACACTCATGTCCCCCCCCACACACACACACACACACGCGCGCGCGCTGGGGTACAGTCCCGCGGGCCGTCACGCGCCTCCAGCCCCTAGGCGGAGAGAAGCCGCGGAAGTGGCGCGATGCGACGTCGTCACTTCCGGTCCGCGTGACCCTACGTCAACTCCCTGCCCCCTGCTCCCGTCTCTCCTTCCAGCAGGCCTTGAACCAGTGATACCGGGGGTCAGGGCTCAGCACACTTCGTTCCCTTTAGGGCCTCCTGGAGCTTCTAGAAGCGCGGAGGGAAAAGAATGGCGCCCGTGGCCACCGGAAGAAGTTAAAACAAGCCACTCGGGAGGCTGAGATCTGAGGATCACGGTTCAAATCCAGCCCTGATAGGAAAGTCAGGGAGACTCCTCTTTCCAATTAAGCAGCCCTAAGGAGAAAAAGCCCTAAGGAGAGCTGAAAATCCTGTGGCAGAGCGCTGGCCTTGAGCAGAAAAGCCCAGGGACAGCACCCAGGCCCTGAGTTCAAGCCCCTGGACTGGCACAAATAAGGGCTGGGACGGTGGCTCAGTGGTAGAGCGCTTGCCTTGCATGCATGAGGCCCTGGATTCTATTCCTCAGCACCACATAAGAAAAAAGCTGGAAGTGGCGCTGTGGCTCAAGTGGTAGAGCGCTAGCCTTGAGCTGAAGAGCTGAGGGACAGTGCCCAGGCCCAGAGTTCAGGCCCACGACTGGACCCAAAAAAAAAAAAGGTAAATGAATTTTAGAACCGAGATAGCATGCTTTCCCAATGTGATTTGGACCCATGAAAAATAAAAATAAAGCCAGGCCCCAGTGCTCACGCCTGTCATCCTAGCTGCTCAGGAGGCTGAGACCTGAGGATTGTGGTTCAAAGCCAGCCCAGAGAGTCCATGAGAGTCTTATCTCCAATGAACCACCAGACAAATTGGAAGTGGCACTGTGGTTCAAGTGGTAGAGCGCCAGCCTTGAGCTGAAGAGCTGAGGGACAGCGCCCAGGCCCAGAGTTCAAGCCCCACGACCAACAAGAAATACATAAACAAAGAAAATAAAAATAAAAAGTAAGCCCCTCTGTGAGCTTGAATCCTGTCTGCTTGGAGTTTACCACAATTCGAGTTTTTCCTCCTTGTTGGTTGCAGATGATTTAAGGCCTCCATTGCCACATCTTCTGAACAAATTAAGGCAAATTATGAAAACCAGTTGCTGAGATCCTGTGGGATGCCGTCATGAATTATGCAACCAGAGAGAAAATTAAAAGATCTTGGATCTCTTCCCAGCACTCTTCATCTAGACGATTGGAGTCCCAATGTTGCACACCAATCTTACCTGAACCTTTTTTGTGGGGGAGGAGAGGGGCCCTGGCTTGAACTCTGGGCCTGGGTGCTGTCCCTGAGCTTC